ATATTTATTTTGATAAGGTATTATGTTAGAGCGAATATCAGTGACTGTAGTATATATATATCCGAATTCGTACTATTGTAGCTTCACTTGACGGGACATTAAAGTAATCTACAACTAGCCTGTCAGGAAAAGTATCAACTCTACCTACTCCCTTCAGAGTCAGGACCGACCAGCCAGTATGAGGAATGCAATGTCTAGGTCAGCTATGGTGGGTGGATGAAGCACAGGCTGAGGTCAATGTCTGACGTGACGATAGATCTATGTCTCGTGATTTCTGACCCTAGTGGTTGAGGTTTGCCTAGTGTTTTACAGCATGTGTTCTGTCACTGTTGGCTCGTGTGAATCGTTTAAATATGGAACTCCTTGTTGTTCAGGTTTGAGCTTTGTCGTAAGTATGCGACTTCGCATGCTTTCTGAATATTTTTTCTACGTTCCAGAATTGTGTTGGTTGATCTTCGCCTGACAAACTGCGAAGCTGTAGACCTTTTTTGGTGTAATTCTTTTGTTTGATAGTGTGTGAACTAGTGAGTGCGTTTTGTATACTTATATTTTGCACATAAACTCGTTTTTGTTTCGTTGTATAATCAACATTTATCATTTTTACTAATCTTTTCTGTCATAACCCGAATAACTGACCAACGCTAATTTCATGTTAACATGCCAAACCAATCAAAGCGTCTATAATTTTGTAGATTAAAAGCAAAAAAATACAAACATATCAACATAATCATAATCCAAACTGGAATTCAATCAATATAGCGCAAAATATGGACAGAAGAAAGATTTACGCGGAAACTCCTGTTCCGGAAGAGTAAGCATCTTCTGCTTTATTATCGACACCCGCCTTGTAAATCTTGGTCAATCCAAGTAAATAATGTTACGGTCTCGAATAAGGACAAGGTATACAACAACGGAACCAACAGGCAAACTAACGAGCTCCTAGTACATACAGCTTCTTATCGCACAAATAAAAGAATATTTCTCAATGAGATCACTATGACGACCGTAAAACTTCTTCATAATTTTCACCAACCTGCATCTTTTGAAACCTCCAAGAAATGGAAACTTCACAGTAGGGAAAATGAAATCATCTCACTTATCATACAGCTTGATGAAAGACTGTTCATGCTGGATCTGTTGCAGGAAAAGTAGTCGATGTAGAGAATTATGCCCTTTAATTTTCAACTCTGGTGGAAATACAAATGTATTCGATGGACCTGGTCAATTAACTTAAACACAAGACGTCATCAATATATCTGAAAGTGAACTCAAACGACTTTGTAACCTGTTTGACAAGCTCGTCGATAAATTCAGCCTCGTATGAAAACAAAGTCAAGTCAGTCAACAGAAGGACACATTTTGTTCCAGTAGATATGCAAATAATCTGTTGGAAGATCTAACCACCAAACTCAACGAAGACGTCAACCAGAGACTCATTTTTATGATTTTCTTTTATGATGTACATGTTATATGTCTGCCATTTTCAGTTTCTATAATTTGATCAATACTACACACAAGACGATTTTCCTGGTTCTATATGTTTGTAGATACTTCCGACCATTTCGAATATATATATTTTAGACCATACATGCCCGATCCTTTCCAGTTTCCATATTTTTGTAGATGTTCCATGCCCGACCATTTCCAGTTTCTATATTTTTGTCGATGTTCCATGCCCGACCATTTCCAGTTTCTGTATTTTTGTAGATGTTCCATGCCCGACCATTTCCAGTTTCTATATTTTTGTAGATGTTCCATGCCCGACCATTTCCAGTTTCTATATTTTTGTAGATGTTCCATGCCCGACCATTTCCAGTTTCTATATTTTTGTAGATGTTCCATGCCCGACCATTTCCAGTTTCTATATTTTTGTAGATGTTCCATGCCCGACCATTTCCAGTTTCTATATTTTTGTAGATGTTCCATGCCCGACCATTTCCAGTTTCTATATTTTTGTAGATGTTCCATGCCCGACCATTTCCAGTTTCTGTATTTTTGTAGATGTTCCATGCCCGACCATTTCCAGTTTCTATATTTTTGTCGATGTTCCATGCCCGACCATTTCCAGTTTCTATATTTTTGTCGATGTTCCATGCCCGACCATTTCCAGTTTCTATATTTTTGTAGATGTTCCATGCCCGACCATTTCCAGTTTCTGTATTTTTGTAGATGCTACATGCCGGATCCTTTCCAGTTTCCATATTATTGTAGATGCTACATACCTGACCATTTCGGTATCTGTATTTTTGGTAGGTACTCCGTACTCGACCAATTCGAATATATATATATATGTGTTGACTACATGCCCGGCCATTTCGAGTGTATATTACTATCTGTGTTATTTCTTTTTGTTATCCTTTCATATTTGTGTGTAAAAGTTATTGCATGATTACAAGGGATTTATAACGAGGATGTTATAGGTTCCTAATGAAGAGACCATACAATAACTGACCTACAGAATACTTCTTGCATCTCCGACCTATGGTATTTAAATGTCACGGTTGATTCGATATTCAAGGACCTGTTTCCATTATCACGATTTTCGCACTAGAAGTCGTCAGCTGACGTATAAACTCGTAACACGAGGTTCAAGAGATGCAGGCTGATGAAAATTAGGGGGAAGTTTTAATGGTCGTCATAGTTATCACATTGAGAAATATTCTATTTGTGTATGTGTGATATAAACCTGGACGTTTTTGATGCTCGTTAGTTTGCCCAGTGGTTCCGTTGTTGTCTACCTTGTTCTCGTCTGAAAATGTGATCTTACCTACTTACCTACTTGGATTGACCAAGGTTTACATGGCGGGTGTCGCCGATGAAGCAGAAGACGCTTACTCTTTCCGGAACATCTGGTCTTATTCTTCTTGTACTTTTTCAGGAGTCTCCCAATAAATCTTTCTTTTGCTCATATTTTGTCCAAGGTTTAAGGAATTTGAGTTTGGATTAGGATTTATGTTGCCATGTTGGTATTTTCTTGATGTTTCAAACCAAAGCCCAAATAGGGATGAAAATAACTCATCTTAATGCATAGTATGGGTAATAAATCATTTCTTACCACAGTCCGCTGCACATATAATCCCCTTCCATGGACAATCATGATTACATGAATATGAAAAGAACTGTGTGCAACAGACTGTGGTATCAAATCTGTAGGGGAGATAATTACTTAGTCATGATTAAGTCATTAATACAAATAGAGAAGATCAATTACACACTATATACACTCATAACAATGTCATGATAGTTTCTTAACTTTCATATATTTCACACAGTTGACAACCTATTATTTTCAATTTACTTTTCACAGATAAGAACACATCCTCCTCCTTTTTTTCTGGAAAATATTTAATGCCCAGAAGCTGATACCTTACTCAACAAATAACACTTAAGTATATCATTCCTTGAAAGATACACGATAGTAAATGCCGCTAAATTGGTGTCAAGATATATAATTATATATTATTAAACATGGAGAGATGAAAATACAGTCGTTAGCGAACTGTACATGTATGAAAATGTTTTAGTATCCAATTGATACGCGTGGTGTTTTCATACATCACCGACTGATCAGCGCACAATGATACAATTGTTTCTCTCAGGATATATATGCAAGCATATGTGAAAAAAAATTTTTTCCACTTTTCCTGTGAAAATTTCTGGAACAAAAAGAGAAAATTCTAACGTTTTTATTTTTTTAACTGATTCTCACAGTGGAAAATAAATTACTCGCTACCAAAGTCTACTGCACATCTAATTCAATGTCATAGGTTATCGTGATTACATGACCATGAAAAGGGCTGTGTACAATGGACTGTGTGGTAACAGCCTGTAAGAAAGGGGGAGATAATCAATCAGCTAGCAATGAGTAAATCAACAATGCGGATGAAACGGTCAATTTCAATTACAGAAATATACATGCGATTCACAACAATAATATTACGAATCTTTGATTTTTTTAATATTTCATACAGTTGACATCATGATTTTAAAATTTCCGTGTCACGAGAATGTAAAACATCTTTTGCATTTTCTGAAAAAGTATGTAATCCCAAGGAGCTCTATTGCGTATTTCACTGACCGTGAAATGGCACTTTAAAATAAACCATTCCTTTAAAGACACACAAAGGAAATACATAAATTATTTTGTGTTTAAAATACCTCTCGTATGAAAGCGGTTTGTTATTGTAAACTTATTGTTGTTTATTCATCTTTTCTCTTACTCCAGAGCACTGATTTTCCACTTGTATCTAGTAATTTGTTTCTTCTAAGATACAGATGCTTCAGCTATCCAATTAACCAGGATTTTCTATTTTTAAATTTCCCTTATCCTGATGAGTAGTCAGTTATTGCATGACATCTCGTCACTCCGGACTTATAACACCCGAGCAATGGACTTATTACATCCTCGTCATCTCTCGTGTGTAAGAAGTCCGATACTCAACACCATGCAATGTCCTATACTTTTTTGACAAACCATAATGTCGCAATATCGAATCAACTGCGACATGAATACATCATAGGTTTGGGATGCAGGTTATTTAACTATCCAGAAATGGCAAATTCACAATTGAAAATTACCATTACCACGACTACACAGCTTGGTGAAAAGCTGTCCATATTGGTTTGGTAGTTGGAAAAGATCGAGATCAGCGACTGATGTAGGAGAGTCAGTTGTGTTCTCGTTTTCATTCAAGAAGCATTGACACCCCTAAATAATTCCATTCCAAGTAATGGTGTATCTGAATGCGTCATTTTGTGACCAAGTAAATTCGTAATGTAGGTCCTAGAGATGACATACATTTGTCCAGAAAAAAGGGACGAATATTTTCATTCTCGTGACCAGGAACTCAAGAAAATGTGCGACGAACTGTCGGTAAAATGTGAAAACCAAGGATTTGTTAAAGCATTGTTGTGAATCGCTTATATTGTGCTGAAAATTAAAACTGACTATTCATCTCTAACTTGTTAAATTAAACGCTGACGTTCCAGGAAATACTCACCGAATGTACTAAAGATAGACTGTTCCAGTTGAAATCTGAACTGTTCAGCATCATCGTTAGGGGTTGGAACACCACACCCCGACTCCAACAACACGTAAACACTGAAGATTAACAGACAAGACCGAGGAAATGATGCCATGGTAAATAGGACTACAGGAACATAATCTGTCTCACTATTTACGGCTTTCTGTTATCTGCGATAACGGTCGACCGCTTTCTACGATTGTCACTTCTATAATAAGTAGTATTTAGCCTTCACGTAAGAAGGTTTATCAGTTTAGCTGGTCCTAGGAGATATATCTACATATCTGTTTCTATTTTTATTTTATCTGACAACAACTTTGTTATCATGTCGTACGACTGTACAACATACAACACTTTGTAGGTTCAACCTCGTCCTACATTTCACATGAATTCATTTGTTAGCAACACGTAAACATATAGCTATTTATATAACAAAACTAGATAAAGGATATTGCTCAATGAAAGTGTAAATAACACATTTACACGAAACTAATGGTAAATATACACGCAGATAATGAATACTTCACCATGAAAAGGTGAATAATATTTACACTGTAAATTTACACGACGTTGAAGGCAAATATATAACCAAATAATGAATACTTCTCAATGAAGAGGTGAATAACACATTTACGCCCTTAATTCACACGAAACGTATGGTAAATATATATTAAAAAAATACTTCTCAATGGAAAGGCGAATAACGTATTTACACAGCACTGAAGGCAAATATATAACCAAATACTGAATACGTGCTCCAGAAGAATAAGCGTCTTCTGCTTCTGCCGTCTATGTCTTCGATTTGTACGTACTGATCATGAAATATGCTTCCGTAACAATCATTACGATATATCTGAAAAGAAAACAAGATATTCCTTCAGTTTAGAATAGAATTAACGCGACTCAGAAATAACAGGAAATATATACCCAGGTTACAAATTCTAGTCAATAACTCATTACTCAAAGTAGTTCAACCATTACGTTTGCCACCGAGTGTCTTACTTATAATTTAACAATATAGATTAATACATCATTTTGATGAATCATACTAGGTTTTGACTGAAATCGCGATGTACCATTACTGAAAAAGAGAACTCTCGTAACGAGAATGTAGTCCTTCACGTTTGGAATAGGCCACTGGGTGGTTCAGAGTAGCAACGTCACTTGTTTTAAAGGTAGATACCGGAAAGAAAAGGAGCTCCTCAAAATCCACATTTTCAATAGTTTTATTTGCGGGGTGCATATTGCCAATATCCCTGTAAACCTGATTCAATGGTGCTAGGGTCCAGCAGATTCATCATAAATAAACCGTACTTATTAATAACACATTCCAAAGAGAGGACAAAGAGAAATCAAAAGAGAAAGTAAAGACAGGATCAAGAGACAAGTGCTGGATTTACCAATAGATTAGTAAACAGATATATATAGACAAAAAATTTTACTTTTATTATTATACAATACTATTTTGGGGTATCTCATTGGAATGCGAGTGTATGCTTAAGCATATAAACATACATTATTGTTACGCCTCTACGAAGTATCTGTTATCCTATTAGATTTAGTGATGTGATTTTATAACTGCCATCAATTTCACCTGTATAAATATTATTATTATTATTATTGTTATTATTACGTTAATATCCTTATGATGTGAACGCCGATCTACAACTAGGCCATGAAGATTAAATTCGATACCAGCTGATTATCTGGAACAACATCCATCAGCAGTCCACAGATAAAAGGGGATTTGACTTCATAAAATTGTGTTCACTGTTGTATACAAGACTTCAAGGTAAATCAACGGTTTATGCAACACTTTTACTAATTAGTCATCAGAAATGTCAGGAAGGTGACTAAGGAGGAATGCTGTCATCGTATTAGCGGGTGCAAAAGGACATCTTGTTACACAAGATTCGTCTCAATGGTATGACACAGGAAATCAGTATTGCTGATAGCCACAGTTCGCATTGACTCTTTGTCCAAACTGCCAATACATCGGCGCGATAAGTGATAATTGCCATATAACTTTGACTCAAGACACAAATCAACCCTTATGTACTAGAATCGTACAGTTATTTTGTAGTCAAACAAAGGTGAACCAACATGACGTAGAGATACTCTGTAACACATAGCTGTTTACACATATCTTAATGAAGCAGATTGATTTTCATGTCATCGTGGTATGTCCACCTCTAAATAAAGGTTCATCTACCTGCGTTCTCATTCGTATCTACAATACATGACCGGAGATACTGTCATATCACACAATGCCTAAACAAATGTACTGTTTAGAGTGTTCATTTGGGTAAATGGGTATTGATAGTGGGCAGTGTGGAAATGAGGCTGGTGATGGCGGGCAGTTTGGAAATGAGGCTGGTGATGACGGGCAGTATGTAAATGAGGCTGGTGATAGCGGGCAGTATGTAAATGAGGCTGGTGATAGCGGGCAGTATGTAAATGAGGCTGATGATAGTAGGCAGTGTGTAAATGAGGCTGATGATAGTAGGCAGTGTGTAAATGAGGCTGGTGATAGCGGGCAGTATGTAAATGAGGCTGGTGATAGCGGGCAGTGTGTAAATGAGGCTGGTGATAGTAGGCAGTGTGTAAATGAGGCTGATGATAGTAGGCAGTGTGTAAATGAGGCTGGTGATAGCGGGCAGTATGTAAATGAGGCTGATGATAGTTGACAGTGTGTAAATGAGGCTGGTGATAGCGGGCAGTATGTAAAAGAGGCCGATGATAGCGGGCAGTGTGTAAATGAGGCTGATGATAGTAGGCAGTGTGTAAATGAGGCTGGTGATAGTGGGCAGTGTGTAAATGAGGCTGGTGATAGCGGGCAGTGTGTAAATGAGGCTGATGATAGCGGGCAGTGTGTAAATGAGGCTGTGATAGTGTAGATAGTGGGACGGTGTGTAGATGGGTTTAGATAGTGGGGCAGTGTGTAGATGGGTGTAGATAGTGGGGCAGTGTGTAGATGGGTGTAGATAGTGGGGCGGTGTGTAGATGGATGTAGATAGTGGGGCTGTGTGTAGATGGGTGTATATAGTGGGGCGGTGTGTAGATGGGTGTAGATAGTGGGGCGGTGTGTAGATGGGTGTAGGTAGTGGGGCGGTGTGTAGATGGGTGTAGATAGCGGGGCAGTGTGTAGATGGGTGTAGATAGTGGGGCAGTGTGTAGATGGGTGTAGATAGTGGAGCAGTGTGTTGATTGGTGTATATAGTGGGGCGGTGTGTAGATTTCTACTCTGTCGGACAGGAAATATCCACACTTCCAGTGAGGGTAATATTAATAGGACCATTCCCTAGCTTCAGGGTAGGACAGAGAAATATCTACAAAATGAGGAGATACACGACTGTCTAACCCGAGGTTTTGTCAAAGGTTAGACTGTCAGAAATTTCCTCCAAGGGTAGAAATTAATCTGACTAAAACTAAGAAATTATCATTTTTCTATCCCTTTTCTCTAACATTCTAAACATATATATATGCTAACAACTAGGGGGGAAATCGGGCAATAACCGACTTCTTTGACAGATTTATAATCTACATTACACGTTATACAAAGACAATCGCAATGATAACTTATTATCATTATGCATTTAAAACTTAATTGGATAAAGAAAGATGATTAAATGTTGTCATACAACAGTGTCAAACTTATCTTAAACTGTCAATATCGAATCAGTCACGTATTTCACCTCAGAAATTTACAACTTCCGGTTTAGCACGTGCTTTTGTTCTGTGTGTGCAGATATCTTGCCCTCACCGGAAGTGTGGATATTTCTGTCCAACGGAGTAGAAATCTTTTTTTTCCTACCCTAGACAGGTAAATCTACGTCTTTTCTCGATGTGAGATTTCATAGTTTCAACCTATTGGGTTGAGACAAGCTACACGTAATGTGATAGCTTAAAACCAACCTGGTTGTGAACGATTTATCGATTCAAAGGTTAGAAAAAAATGACCGACCTTCCGGTACCCGATACCCTGCATTGTTACAGGTCATGAAGAAAACAGTCGATTAACAATTATAGGACACTGAATGAATGACAGAAGTGTATAATTTCTAGCATGTTGTCAAACACTAAATATACTGATTTGGCTCCATCAACCCGATCACTATCCTCTGTCTCCTTGTCCTCGTCAAGTACAATTTTTTATAACAAATGTCACAATGTGTTTTTGTGTCATAATCAGAAAACCCGATTAGCACCTTCAATCCTGCATCACAGAGACGGTCCGAAACCCACATCGAATGCATGCGTGTTGGTTCTCACATGAACAATTCCCAAATTATAATAAATATTGCCACATAGTTCCAGCATCGAAATGTCGTGGTGATCGAGAGCGACTCGGAGAAGAGATCTTATGTGACGTCACGCATTCAATTTAAGAATGAACTTTCTTGGGCTTTGATGACGTCAAATTAGCTTTACAGTCTATTGAAATGTGATAAAAAAAAAGTAAAAAAAATGCATCGATATGCTTCTTAAATTTAACAAATGTGTTAGATAGAGAATACAGTTGTAAGTTGTGTTAGAAAAATCTGTTTCTTGTAGATTTCTTTTGAAGTACATGACGGAACACCTTTACTTCGCGGATGTTTACCTTCCCATACTTTATACAATGTAATCACACACAGGTAATTTTTTCCGTCAGTGAATGATATATCTATTCTGCAATATACCGAAGAAAGGATAAGAATTTCAGCGCAAACATTCAGTTTGCAAAATATGGATATGATCTAAAGGAATAACATTTTTTTAACCTGGGGATTTAAAATGCATAAAAAATTAAGGAAATGGAGAGCCGACAGTCATTTCTTCGGATTTCACTCCATTGTTTGTATTAATAATTTAATAAACATATTGCCTCGGTCAATTCAACGCTTTACACAGCATGTGTACGTGTGTAGACAAAAAGCGTTTGGATGAGCGAGATTACTGTTATCCCTGTGAAAATAATTTAATACAGGTAAATCTTCAGAGGTTCTAAAGCAAGTCAACAAAGCATGGGAAAACGCGTATTATTTCATAACACGACAGGTCCATGGGTTTTGTCAATTACGGCTGTCTTAATATCGAGTAGGCCCGAGGAATTGGGTTAGTTGGTGATGTGACTGATAAGAGTGAGGCGGTATATAGTGGGTGATCGGTCCAACATAGATACTGATATTTTTTCGAAATGATTTCGGTTTACTTGAAGAAATATAGCTGTTCGTGATAAATAGGGACTTCCACTAACTCCAGTCAACGAAATCATGATCATTTTACAATTCAACAGTATCTGTTTACAAATTCAATGTTCAGTTTTCTCAAAATTGGCAAAAATGAAGTTGATTTATTGTTGAATTCGGACTTAATAATTTATTCGTTGTTAGTTTGTTTTAATTTGCGTGTGATGTAGCAATGACTGGAAACTATTGTGATAACATACTATCTCGACTTAGGAGTACATTATAGGATTACCATTCATAATTCCACTCTCCAAGTGATCCTGATAGACACGTCATGTCCGTTAGAGTACCAGAATTTCTATAAATGTCGAGACATTTGTCGATAAGGTAACAAACCGTTGAATGAAACTCGGTGATACTTTCAATGGCAATTCAATTTGTATCTATTTTTTGTGTTTATTGGATCTGTAAAACAAACCGAAACAGGTATACTTCCGTTTTATTAACGATTACGACGCGAAATCGAAATAAAACAATAGTTCTGCTAATGGAACGTAATGGCACTGTGCCTCAGCGATATTTATCTCAGCGCTACATCAGTGGTCAGGAAAGTATTGTTGTCTATCCATATTTATCCAGGATTTGGAAATACATATATACTGTTATTTCTATGTGTGTTTTTTTCTATTGTTATTATTTATTTATTTAATTTTTATTCATTTACTTTTGTTTATTATTATTATTATTATTTGTTTTTCTGATAGACTATACAGAAGTAAGAAATATTAAAAAGTCGATATGGTTTCATGATATTGAAAAGTTCTCTACGAGGACAAGCCTACTCTTTATGTAAATCTTAGTTTAATTTCGAACCACACCTGATGAAATCTAATAGTAACAAACTCATTTTTGTGTAAATTTTGTACTTTAATCTAAAACTTCCTATAGAAACTGAAAGACAAAATGACATCTGCACGATAAATGGTGATGTCCTCTGTGTATAAACTTTATCAGAGAAAAATACTACTACCGTTGTTAAAACTAATGGATTTTAATCTGTTTATGAAAAATATACGCACCAAGCTGTCATAATGTTAACCAAATCTTAATGAAATTACTGTTCTCGACATGTAATGCTGTTTCGTTAAACAGAGTAGGTTGACTTGTATAAAGACTAATTGAACTCTTAATACGCAAGGAAACAGACCTCTATCTGAAATGTTGGTTTATGTAAATATGTTATGTATACAGTAATGTCTACTTGGTCCGTTTCTTCACATTAATTAATGAGGAATTCCCTCCTTATCACAACTACTTTATGTGAAGTTACCAAAGTGACCAAGCCTACTTAATGAGAAGTTATATCTTGATCACGCCTACTTCATGAGAAGTTATATCTTGACCACGCCTACTTAAAATCTTGATCACGCCTACTTCATGCGAAGTTATATCTTGACCACGCCTACTTAAATCTTGATCACGCCTTCTTCATGAGAAGTTATATCTTGACCACGCCTATTTAAATCTTGATCACGCCTACTAAATGTGAAGTTATATCTTGACCACGCCTACTTAATGAGAAGTTATATCTTGATCACGCCTACTAAATGTGAAGTTATATCTTGACCACGCCTACTTAATGAGAAGTTATAAAGATGATCTAACTGCATCATATAACTTTTAAAGGAGTCGAGTCATTCATGATTTACCAGTAAGAACAAACTCGCCATGGGGCGCCTGCACTCCAACGGCAGAATGGTATGAATTTGAAGTAGGAAACGATGGTATATGATGGAGGGGCGGTGACAGACTGGATTACTAGAAACGGCGTCATGTAGGTATTTTGATCTTCTTCTTCACAGATTAGACACGTGACAATGCTTAACCAATCAGAGCTTGCAATTATCAACAGCCATACAATAAAATGTTTTAAGCTATTTTCCGTATTTTATTTTCAAAAAAATAAACAATATGACTTGTACAAATATAAATGCTGAATTTATTTGAAGAAGGAAAACTTGTGCAAGTAGACATTTGTTAGTAAATAATAGCATAGGAACTGTTGATAACGGTGTCGGTATGGTGACGACTGTGTCGATGTAACTGTGGCAACGTTGAATGGGGATCGAATCCCTCTCATATATTTAAACATTGTATACCATGTGTGTTTCATCACTTCCACTCAATCCAGTACAAAACACGCTTTGTCTGGCACGGATGTCCGATAGTCTAGAATGTTTTCACTCTTAGCACTGTATTTATTGGGTTTTTTTCAGTTTATTATGTGATAGATAGAACATCTAGAGTTGCTAACAGCTCCACGGTGTTTCATGTTAGGAGGTAGTATAAGATTCCTGATAGTAAAACAGGTTTCATGTAACTCCAGAGGTCCTGGTTAGTATGAGAGTTATTTAGCCGAACCTAAGACTAGGCATGCGCGCACTACGACTGTCGGAAACCTGTCGGACCTTGAGACCGGAAAGAAGAGCAGCCACTCTGTCCACGAGATTGTCCTGGGTACGTTTAACTGTAACAACAAAAAAATTACAAAAATGAAATTCCAATTAGTCATAAGTCACAACCTTTAAAATCTGTAACAGTTAGACACCTAGCCACTTAAGTGAGATTTCACTAAGCTTCTAATTTACTATCGATGCTCAAGCGGTTTCGCTCTCTGCACCCCTGAAACCTGTCCTGGCAAAAATGAAGCCACGAGTGAAATGATTTGATTGGTTCCAAGAGAAAAAAAAGACCAATCACATGCTGATACACTCCTTTGAAGATTATAAAGGAGCGACACCCAACTTCAAAGCCAGTACAATATACGTTATTCGACCTCGGGATTCATTTGGCGTAAATCAAATGATCTAACCAGTCTTTTTGTCTTGTCCACAAGGTGTCGCACATGGTACACTCAATTTCACCAAGACAGGTTCCATGATTGCAGAGAGCAAAGTGATCGTAACACATGGAGTATCGAGGACGTTAACTGACTGACTCTCACATAAGACTATGAATGTGACCAGACAAGTGTAATTACTTTTGAGAATTTTGTGAAATCCAATTGCACCACAGATGTAAGATTACGCCAATGTCTTTGCCAAAAGTAGGCGGAATAGCCAGTCACAAACAACTAATATGATATTTTAAATACATAGGGCACAGTGTATGAAATGCCACTATAAATATATAGATATTGTCTGTTCAGTTGTTATCTGTTAACGACCAGGTGACTGACCTATCACTGGTCATCATTAATTGTTGTCTGTATTACACCCTACAGTCATATGAGAAAACTTTGAGTAGTGTCTCGTAGCTCATTGTATCAGACCAGCTAAATTCACCATCAAAATACTGCGTCATATTCGGTTATATAATTAATATAATAGCTCCACAAGTCACTGCCTTTGATTAAATATTGTAAAATGGACTAACAACTGAATAACACATTTTAATAATGAAGAGTTAGATAATGTAGAATCAAACCAAAAAATTATAGTGTGTCATACAACTATTTCGTCCTTCTAGGACTCGTCAGTGATGCGAAGGGCTTAAACTTTGAAGTCTGGGAGTGACTGAGGAAAATCCAAAATGATCGAAAGAAAGAAGTCAGCAGCTCCAAGATTAAATTAATTTCGTAATGTGTATATATATATATATTGAGAACAGTTTCAGGTTCATGTGTATGTTCTGAACCGCGCCTCTATTAGAATGGTTACACAATGATTATTTCACATATATATATATCACTCATGAGAGAGGGAACGTGCTGTTTTGATTAATATTTGCTTTCCTGTTTTTTCATCTTCATTGTCTGGAGCAACATTTTTGAAACAGTATTCTGTTATTCAGAATATTTAAATATCAAAGGTTACACTCTCAGAACACTAGATAATTTACCCAAATGACAAAAAAAGGACAGACAAACGGATTGAAAAGAGAGACAGAGAAACGGGAGGGGGGAGTGATTGAATTGCTGATTGGGACAGGAAATTAAAAGGAATCAACAGGGACGTTTGTTACAACTAGTTAATTAATATCTTACCTGGATATTGAAATCTTTCTACAATATTAGGCTGGCTTTGTTCCTCTAGATCCCGGAATCGCAACTTCTTCAGAATGAGTTTTCGAAGATCTACAAAGATAAACAAAATGTTAAGTGGCATTAAATTTTTTTTTGAGAACGATACTTTGACTCTAGATAGAAACATAATCTCCATTTCCCTATAATTAAAGGAACATGGTACATATGCGTTGTTGACAGGATGCTGAATAGATTGTATTAATGATACACAAGTGAATCAACTTTAAATGGTGATTTTACCGGTTCCAGATGTTTCTGATTTTTTTTATCTTCGGCTCTCTACATAATATGCTGAATGATATACTGAATGGATAAAGACGCGTGTCTTCTTTAGCCTTGCTGTAAATATAGGTAGCCGTATAAAAATTAGGGGCGCCATCCCTAATTCCCTAACATATGATAAAAATCCGTCAAACTTTTCCACATCCCGAGCGCCTAAATTATCAATATACCGTGACTGTTCAAAATGCATGCGTTCTCTTCCATTCAAATTAATGTCGATTTCTGACGATCACCAAGACGCGTGATCGCCAATACATTTGAAATCAATAATTTTTTTTAAATATGCCATGACTATTCAAACTTGATAGAGAACGAACTCCCGTAATGTACATGGGAGGTAGCACTCAATAGCAGACCGCTACTCACTTCGGAATTCGTAAATCACCTAGAACTCGGCTAGTTTTAAGTCTCAATGCCACGGGAAGAGTTGGTGAAAGGCCAAGATCCGGACGTCCACGTGTAACGTCGCGACGTCAGGATCGGTTCATTAGACTTGCCCACTTGCGTGACAGGAGATTAACGGCAGCCGAAATGACACGAAATATCATTGGTAATGGAAACTATTAAATTCACCCATAAATTGTGAGAAATACACAACGAGAGGCAAATTTACGCCCATGTCGCCAGTACTTTGGTTTTCCATTGACGTTGAGCACGTCGTATGCGAAAGTTGACGGCACATGTGCCCAGACGTTATACTGCTAGACTTGGAGGTCAATGCAATTCAAGGATGAATCTAAATCAACGTGTGAATCGGCGTCGAGGAGAGCGCCTTGCAGGCGCTTGTTTTTTGGAGGACAAGAGATTTGGCAGGGCAAGAATTTCCCATGGTGTAAATGCACTTTTAATGATCATTAACAAGAATTTAGTGGCTGTACTCTATCGAATTGGGATCCTGAGGCCCCATGTTGTGTCTTACATTATAAGGCACCAATGTACCTTTCAGTATGCTAACGCTAGGCGTCACGTTGCAAGAATTTGACGAGACTTTCTGGCAACCCAGAACATTGTTCCTATTGATTGGTCTCCATATAGCCCCGATTCGTTCCCAATCGAACACTTGTGGGATGAATTAGACAGACAAATTCAGAATCGATCACACATCTCAAATAACCTCTGCCAACGGCCAACGCACTAACTGAGGTATGATAGAACATTTCTCTACGGAGAGTCAATGTTCTAATGAAGTCTTTGCCGCGCAGAATCAGAGACACCATAGCTGTTCGGGGAGGGCACACACGATATTAGGGATCGGTATGACAATGCCGTTATTTCAACTTTGTGTACTTTAGGGTTCCGTAATACATAGCGGTCTAATGAAGTCTTCATTTGTTAAAAATCTTAGAAAAAGTTCAAGATAGATGGTCCAATATTCGAAGTTAAGTATTGCATTTCATTAAGGCATATTGGTTATTAATATTGATTTATCATATTAAACCGTAAAGTTGTAGTTTAGTGTCTTTTTCCTCTTAGTATGTATAACACTTTTTGATGTACAGGAACCAGAACAGAAGTAGAGGCATATGTTCTATTAGGTTTTCATGTGCAACAATGTGCCAAAATTTTATTTCGCAACATTTTTTAAAGGTCATATTTTGCAGTATTTCCTCCTTATTCGTAAATTAATATTTGATAGTATCACCAACTCTTGTGATAGTTATAAAACAGTGAACCCTGTCGTACACACGGCGTTAATTTACGTCACATTACAGGCCGTAAGGATACATTTCCTGGGTTGTTGTCCCTCAGTGTGCTTCAAATAATACCCAGTTAAGTTTAAATTTATTCTTAGGCAAAATTAGATTGTTCCTGAAAAGGTAGTTTTATAAGTTTTTATCACACAGGATTGCTAGGATTATCGAGGTGCTTCACTTTACTTATATATATATATAGCGTGTAGTATACAAAAACAAAGTCCTAGATATAGAAAATGTATGGTTAGTGTCTTAAAACATAAAATGCGGCTTATATTCTAAGGAACTCGCCATGTATTCTATTTATCCTATAACGTTTACTACAGATAAGACCATCATCAATGCTTCAATAAATTTTGGTTCAGTCCTTGTTTACCTGACATTGACGTTACGCTAGATATTGACTGATACGTACGCCTAAATAATTACTCCGCGCAGAAATTTAGTTTCAAACTTCAATAAATATGACAACGACTTTATGAATTTTCGTACATAAACTCGTTCATTGCAACATATAAAATTCCTTTTTTCAATAATTATTTATATTGTTAAACGTATTTTTTTTAGTATATTCAGAAAATGATTCCGTTGAATTCACAGCACAAATATATGTGGCAAGTGGATTCCGACAATGGCACTGCCAGTTGCAGGATAACCTATGTTGGAGTTCATTTTCAAAATGAATGATGTCCTACTTCCGATCAGACATCGGAAGAGCACATTCATAAGACGACTCTCAGGTTTGCTGTCCATCATGATTTATATATTTTTAATTTATAAATGTTGTTCCACAAGGGAATACTTGTTCCTTATACAATAGATCTACCTTCTCGGTGTAAGATTGGTGTCAGACAGTAACGGCTTGAATTTTGTGTATCAGTAGTCAGCACATAGGAAAAAAGTCCTGATTTCAATCCTCTAAAATTGAATCTCAAACGATTGACTATGCTATTAAGAAATATCTTCCCTTGATGGTTTAATTGTCATTTTTAAAATTTCATTCTGTTTCATTTCAAATAAGTTTATTTTACAACAAAAACTAAAAACAAAAAAATGGATGATTTGCCAAGCTCTTTTATCACCTACTCTAATGAGTTCTGTATGTGGTCAGCCTCTAATGGCAGGGTCAGTGTGAATGCATATTTACCATGTCCTCTGCCTTTTTACCAAAGTCCCCCTAAAAACCTTACACTGAAATCTTACCGATTACGTTTAATTAGTCCACAATTTTTCATTTTATCCTATATATAAACAATATATTTGCTTCACCTACCTTGCCCTCTCACGCCTTGGATATTTGTGGCTTCCTCCTCATAATTTTCCATGTCATCTGCGTCTCGTTTCGCGTTTGTAGCCGAGAGAAAAGAGTTCAATGGAATACCACATTCCGAATTCCTTATCATAAAACAAACAAACATCACCACAGCAAGTGCAACTCTGTAAGTAATAACTTCCATGTCGTGTCTGAAACAGAGACAGATATAGTATCACAAGCTTGTTAAACTTCCATGTCGTGTCTGAAACAGAGACAGATATTATATCAAAACATTTTAAGCTTCCATGTCGTGTCTGAAGCAGAGACAGATATAGTTTCACAAGCATGTTAAGCCTCCATGTCTTGTCTGAAACAGAGACAAGTATAATATGACAAGTAGTTGAAGTTTCCATGCCGTGTCTGAAACAGACAGAATCAGAATCGAAGTTCTATACACTTGCGGTCACTTAGAATCAAACTCAAAGTTCTCTGCAATGATGAAATTCTGTGGAATGGCAAATCTCTTGTCAATGACAAGACATATAGACATGTATACATGCTCATATAGATAACTCACCTTTCGCGTCTAGTGCTGGTTACAATTATGAAATCAAGATCGCCATCTGTGTCTCTTCATAAGCACGTATATATACTGTTAAACAATGCGTGGGAGGCGTGCGTACGTAAGTAATTCTACAACAAACGACCAATGACAAAACTGGGTACTGTCTGGCTATTATCTTTACTCAACCAACCCGGTTGCCCTTTCCTGTCATGCCGACAAACAGGAACGATGTGACAGGGGAAGGAAATTTGTAGATTAACGCTCCGTAACGAATGCGCATGAAAAGGATTATGAAAAGACCGCCCTAAGCTGTGAAAAACTCTCTTGTTTCCTGGCGTTGCAATTAGCGTATTCGTGCCACGCGATATAGCTCATCGATGTATGACGTGTTGTCAAAATATAATGCCTCTTGATATCCTGGTAGTCTTGTCATCTACATTAGCGATATGAGACGTCGTAGTCATGCATTAAAATGTCACACACTTTTAGATGACAATTCCAAAGGTTTCGTGTTAGCACCCACTTACCAAATTATCAATGTTAAATTTATTGAAATGACGCAAAAACTTCTTCTCGTGCAAAGAAGACACACAATGATATTGTTTCTGAGTCCATCGCAAATTGGTCTTATTATATTTCTTGGTGCAAGGGAATTTGCTTGTTAAGTTTTGTTAAATGACCAATGTTGTATCAGTGTTATCACTTACTTTTTTTCTATAGATGTATTAATAGATGTATGACCTTGACCTTCGCTAGTCACCAGATTGTCTGTGTGCTGCTACGTCAGAGCGCTCTGAAATCGGTTTAAGATTTAATACATGAGTAAGAACACAATTTTGCAGTTTTGTTTTGGGATGAGTCTTTTAAGTCTGCCGACAGCATTTCTCATACAGCTTGGTGCAGTGAAGCTGATGTTTAGACATGCATCAAACTACCCTCCGGTACTGAAAGCACGTCCTTGTCCCCTCCGGTACATAGCATACGATTATGTCATAATGCATATACAATGTACCGAACAAAGCTATAAAGATGAGGTGTTATGCCATATAACTGTGCTGAAGCCAAGTGATCATATAAATTTGATAACTGCTTTTAGAAGATGAATACCTTCTTAAGTTCACCTGGAGGTTATGTCGTAAATCAATGATGATGTATTTCGGTTAAGATGATAAATGGTTATTCCCTCTCTGCTATAAGGAATCCAGAAATTAAGTGTTCCCGAAATTATTTTCCGATACCGTCTCTGGAATACTGAAACTGTCGTAGGAGTACTGATACAGTCACTGGATACTGATACAGTCACTGGATACTGATACAGTCACTGGATACTGATACAGTCACTGGATACTGAAACTGTCGTAGGGGTACTGATACACTCACTGGATACTGATACAGTCACTTGATACTGATGCAGTCACTGGATACTGAAACTGTCGTAGGGGTACTGATACAGTCACTGGATACTGATACAGTCACTTGATACTGATACAATCACTGGATACTGAAACAGTCACTGAATACTGATGCAGTCACTGGATACTGATACAGTCACTGGATACTGAAACTGTCATAGGAGTGCTGATTTAATCATTGAAATGTATATACAGTTACTAGAACAAGTAACCATGCAGACAGCAGAGATTTTTCAAAACTCAAACTTAACTGGTCAGTATGATCAGTGAAGGGCTGTGATCATAACGAGGACATTATTGTTACTCTACAGGAAATAAACACATGAGTTGGAGAGAAACAAAACGAACATAAAGTCAGCAAATATGTGTAAAGCTGGTGTGTTACTAATAAGGAAAGGAAAGTATACGTAAATTCACATTACGCTTCGCACTGGTCATTTGTCTGACGAAAGTGACTGTGCAGTCATTGAAACGTTACACTCAAATCACTCAGGATGTTTTCGACACATACTTGGCATGGTAGCACTATTAAGTTGGTATCAGATCCACTGTAGCTCTTTTTGCTTCCCCGTCTCACACATGTGTAGACCGACCATGTAGATAGAAGGACATTAACGTAAAATCAAACGATCATTTCAGTGAACGTTCGTTACAGTAACTGAAAATCTTATATAACCCGTCAATATGGGTTTTTTTAACATACGTAAAACGGAATAATTTATTTCACTATCATTGTCACCGAGAACTTTCACAAGAGAATATGAACATCTAAACGAAAATGTTATTATAACACACACACACAACCCCAACCCACATCCCCTCCTGCAAAAAAAAAAATAAAAATGAAACATACACAAAAGAAGTATAATTGATGTCACGATCTCAAAAATTAACCCAGGGAAATATCAGCCAATCTAATCAATATCGAACAACGAAATTTCAAATTATTCTTCAAGAAAATAAAACATTTCTAAATTAAATTATGATGGAGACCTTAAAATATGCCGTAGGTCATTCCCTTTGGGGTCTCCATGCTGTAAGAATCACGGAAATCGTGTTCTGGATCAGAACCTTCAATTACGGACATATCGCTACTTTCGATAAATGGGAAATTTCTAACAGATAAAAAATGTCACTATTTTCCTTCAACTTAGCGGTTAGTGGGTATAAGGTCAGGCTGAATTAAAAAGTACTTGTCTTATCACTGGCCTCACGTGATCAGGGGATGATCATCAAAGATATGGTTAAGGAAAATCTTGCTATTTAAAGCAAAAACGTCATCAAAATATCTAAACGGGAAATTAAAAGATTGATAAGATTTTGCTGACAAGATGGAATCAATCTCTTTACAAATAGTAGAGATGGATAGAATTAATATCAATATATGTGTTTCAGTGGTTTTTTTAAAAAAATATATTGTTAAACTACTAGACAAGATATTGTCAACCAAGAACATATTCATTCTAAAACACTACCCTCTTAACGCTTCTACGAGACCACTGTTAATCCTTCCTCACAAAGGAATTTCCTTATTATGATACAATACACAGAAGGAAATACACTGTAGTTAATTTCTAGTTAATATAAAGTTTTCATTAGATAATACGATACACAAAGGGAATAGGATAATTTCCTGTTAATATAAAGTTTATTTACGTGAACCTATGTTTCTGGAAAGGTTGTTCGTTGTTTCCAGTGACGTCATCCATTATGGATTAGTCGCCATTATACCTGGTACATACCCGACATGGCCTACTTATTAGGTAAGTCAGACATGGCTTGAAAAAAATACATCAAAATCGACATATATTGATTTGTGTCATGTTTGATGAGGTAATCGTCGCATGGAACAGATCCGCGAGTTATTTCCCCTTTCACATACCGAACATCGACTTATTCGTGTGCTCGCTACTGGCTGAATGTATTGAATTCATAATTTCTGCATTTTCTTCGCAACAATTTCATTTATAGAATCTCCTACACATTGTGAGATAACTGTAGATTATGTTCCGTGTTAGTGAACCGTCCTTGTCTGTATTGTAACCGTTGTAAAAAAATTTTTTTTTTTTTTTAATAAACTATAAGTGACATGTAAAACAGCATTAATGAACAGGGTGTATATATCTAAGGTAGTTTAAATCATACATCGTGTGATTAACTTACCAATGCTACAGGTTTGAGGAAGTCAAGAATTTCATGCAAATCAATGAAAATGTATAGCCTTGCTATTTTCAAAAACAAATTGATCGTAACCGTGATCTTCATTCAAGGCTACAGAGGTCTTGACGAGTCTGTCAATTTGTTTACAGGACTGTTATTCAACTCTAGATTTTCACATGTCCGTGACTTGGGATGTGGCTCTCTTTGTTAATTTTATTGTCCGCACCGTGTAAGCTATTAAGCAAGTCAATTTGAAATGCAATCAAAGGTTTGGACTAATGAATTATCGGGCAAGGACGTAGTACACATAAAAATGATTTTATTATGTTGAAACGTCCGGTTGAATTTTATTTGGAACACATGGGCATTATACACCTACACACACATTTTCGAGCACGGTGTTAGTAAACGTTAAATTAAAAGGAAAGATATTGTTACATTCATATAAATAACTTTTGTATGGACGATCTGCCCACACCACTTCCATACACTAGACAATGCTTGGGTGGTACACTCGAGTCACAACGCATTTGAGAAAACTGACCCGTCTTCCATGCCAGATGGCACTGTTTGTCTAAGACTTCTAAATCGTATCATGAATTAAAATTTCGAAAGCATCCGTCCTTGTTCCGGCGAAGACAGTGGTGAGAACGTGAGCGACCTTGTCTAAAGAATGGACTTTTCTCCTGAAGCACCCGAATTTTTATCGTGTAGAATTCGTGAATAAAAAAAACATATTTCATGTGTCGTGACAAGAACCTGCAGATACGTTAACGGTGCAGTATTAGCATGGGTTAACCTTAGTCAAGTATGTTAAGGTAGCACCTCTGTAAATCGGTTTTAAAAGTAACACAGAGAAGAGAAATCTATACGTACATTCTCAAACAATGTCAAATCTACAGCATTATTACTAGTCATTTTGAGAATTGAATTTGTCGTGGCATTTATGGTATTACATAAATGACATAGCTTTCCAGACAGATATCTTTGCATGAATTGTTCAAACTATGTGTATGTTGTAGGCAAATGTGAATCCCAGAAATAGGAAACTAGAGGATTTTGTTT